AGTGATTTGTCAGTCATTTCTCAGTGATTTGTGAGTGATTTGTCAGTGATTTGTGAGTGATTTGTCAGTGATTTGTCAGTGATTTGTGAGTGATTTGTGAGTGATTTGTCAGTGATTTGCCAGTGATTTGTGAGTGATTTGTCAGTGATTTGTGAGGGATTTGTCAGTGATTTGTCAGTGATTTGTGAGTGATTTGTCAGTGATTTGTGAGTTATTTGTCAGTGATTTGTCAGTGATTTGTGAATGATTTGTGAGTGATTTGTCAGTGATTTGTGAGGGATTTGTCAGTGATTTGTCAGTGATTTGTGAATGATTAGTGAGTGATTAGTGAGTGATTTGTCAGTGATTTGTCAGTGATTTGTCAGTGATTTGTGAGGGATTTGTCAGTGATTTGTCAGTGATTTGTGAGTGATTTGTCAGTGATTTGAGTGATTTGTCAGTGATTTGTCAGTGATTTGTGAGTGATTTGTGAGTGATTAGTGAGTGATTTGTGAGTGATTTGTGAGTGATTAGTGAGTGATTTGTCAGTGATTTGTGAGGGATTTGTCAGTGATTTGTCAGTGATTTGTCAGTGATTTGTGAGTGATTTGTGAGTGATTTGTCAGTGATTAGTGAGTGATTTGTCAGTGATTTGTGAGTGATTTGTGAGTGATTAGTGAGTGATTTGTCAGTGATTTGTGAGTGATTTGTCAGTGATTTGTCAGTGATTTGTCAGTAATTTGTGAGTGATTTGTGAGTGATTAGTGAGTGATTTGTCAGTGATTTGTGAGTGATTTGTCGTGATTTTTCAGTGATTTGTGAGTGATTTGTCAGTGATTTTCAGTGATTAGTGAGTGATTTGTCAGTGATTTGTCAGTGATTTGTGAGTGATTTGTCAGTGATTTTTCAGTGATTAGTGAGTGATTTGTCAGTGATTTGTCAGTGATTTGTCAGTGATTAGTGAGTGATTTGTCAGTGATTTGTCAGTGATTTTTCAGTGATTTGTCAGTGATTAGTGAGTGATTTGTGAGTGATTTGTCAGTGATTTGTCAGTGATTTGTGAGTGATTTGTGAGTGATTACTGAGTGATTAGTGAAAGCTCGTGGAGCTGAAACAAACAGTGGGGTCAGAGGTCAGAAGCTTTGTTTACAGTAAACAAAACAACACGTCTGTAAACGTGCAGGAATCAAACCCGTCTGAAGCATCTATAAACCATGTGTCTCAGAGCAGGAAGTGGAGGATTTTCAACCTCCTGCCTTCACTAACAGCTGATGGATGTTTGTGTGGCCGTCGCCACGACGACGGGAATTCACATCCAGTCGGGCAGGATCAGCAGCTCCCGACGCACAAACTGCACAAAGTACACAAAACTGTCCACAGCTCACACCAACAAAACAAATCAGGTTTTATAAACCTGTCAGTGACGTCTGAAAGCAACAAAACAAGCAGCTGAAGTTTTTTTATAAAAACTTTGGTTTAAAATTCATGATGAAAACAACTGTTTTTGTGTTTCTGTTGTTGAGAATTAATTTATGTTTGATTTTATCTGACGAGGAGAGAAAACACACAACGGCTCATGTTGAAACAAATCCACCAACGCTTTAAAGACTCCGTGCAAAAGTATTCAGCCCCTGCTTCTCCGTCTGTTTGTTGTCCTGATGGAGAATTCATTTGTTTCTAATTAATAATGTTATTTTTTTAATAAGATATAACTGATAAACTGTGTGAGAAGATTTATTCAGCCCTCATGTCTCCCCAATGTTCATTAGATAGATAGATGGA